GGCATGCTAATAAGGTGAAGCTCCTCAGGAAGCAGGGCATAAAGAAATGCAAAGAAGGGTTATAACCACCAAAACTAAAGGAGGGCTAACAGCTCTCCTAAGCATTTTGCATTGCACCTCATTCCATTCTTAAAAGCATTTTAAGGTAGAGATACATTATCATCCTCCTTATATTGGTGAGAAACAGACTGACTTGCCCAAAGTTAGCCAGTGCCTGAGCCACCTTTCAAACCCAAGCAGTCCAATGTCACAGTCAGCAATCTCGGCCACCATACTGCATTTTTTCCTCTCGTCAAAGCTGGTCTGAACCTCAACTTGGTCCTCTCTTTACTGAAACAGTAAAATGTAATTCAACAGATACATTCTCACATCACAGGGGCCATGAAGCATCCCTAATGGTTGTCTCTCTTTAAGATCTAGATTTGGGCTGTCTTTGTTTACTGGCGGAGCCTGCATATTTTGAGGCATACCTCACTCATGGTTAAAAGGCATTCCATATGCCCTTACTTGCTTTTCACTGTGAACCAAATGAGCAGAAAACAGTTCACAAGAGTCAATGTTTGTGGTTGCCCTTCACTGGAAATGGGCCAAAATTCTTGATGCCCCACAGAATTGGGAACTAATGCACTGCAAAGCATGTCAAACACTCGTTTTTCTAGTGAATTAGAGACCTGATCAGCTGAACTGTAAAAATCTATTTCCCAAAATACAGGAGATACTGAACATCCAGCAAAATATCCCAGGGAAATCCAATCTAATATAGACACTTGAAGAATTTATGTCCATTGAATCTCCCCTGGATCCAGATTTGTCTCAATTTTCTTGCCCTCTTCATAGGCATTTCCGATTTTCTTCCTTACATATTTAGCTAAGGCTGTAGTGTCAACCACATGTCTCAAGGTTGAGGCACTTGAGAATTTTCCCTTTCTATGCCATATCTTCCTAGTAGAGAGAATGGATATTTCCCCACCAGAGGGAAAGAAATAAATATCCATTAAGGAATTCCAGCTAGCTATGTCTAAGAGAAGTTTTGCCTAGACATCTTTGAAAGTTGCAGAGCTTTTTAAATCTATGGCTTATGGATAGATTCAGGGAGGAGTCCATGATCTTGGATGAGGAAAAGCTACATTTCCATTTTCCTAAACTCTAACTGAAATTTAGAATTTCCTCCAATTATAAACATTGGCAAACTGCCCTGCCCCTATAAGGGTATTAGCTGTCCCTGTGACTCTATCATCAATAGAAGCCAAGCTTTTCCATATCACATTGCAGCTGTTGCAGATATCATAAAATATCATTTACAGTCATTTGTATTCTGCAGTTACGGTCATTATCAAACCCATATGACAACCCTTACAGGGATGCCACATGATTGGCAATTTTTCTAATCACCTTTGTCCATATGTTCTCACTGACCAAGTACTGAACAACTCCATGCATGTGGTCATTCAACCACCACACAGGGAAATTGCAGGTTCTACACTGGTGACCTAGATATGGGCACTGCTTCCCAGTATTCCCTATATATAACAACTGGTGACAAGAAGATGAATTTTTAAAAAAATAACTGTGTAATGCAGAGGTTAATGGTCCTTCATCTAGCTAAGCAATCTTCACATTGAAACTTGAAAAAAATATTTTTTAGTTTAGACTTAATTTCCTATATTTTAAGTGCATTGTCCTATTTTATAACTCATTCATGTTTTATTACCATATCACTATTTTTGTCTGACTATGTTGACAACTATATTTCACTATAATTGGTCCCCCCCCCAGTTTTTTTGAATTTTATCTACACATCTAAAAACATTACTCTCAGAAGTGATCCAGAAGCATCGCCAGAATGCTAAAGAGATCCATTGGTGTGTGAGCGCGCGCGCACACACACACATACACACACACACAAAACTAGGAAGTCCCCTATGAAGGAATTAAGAGACAGCTTTGTTTTCAGGAACGAAATGCACCCTGATGTCAAGATGTCTACGTATCACTCGAGAGAGAAGCAGACAAAGAAGGTGAGCTCTGCTCAGGCTGATGCGAACCCAGAAGAGATGTAAGAACGACACAGGATTCATCCAGAGAAAGGCTGTCTGCTACTTCAGTAAACCACAGTTAACTTCCAACTTCCAATTCATGGAAAACTCCATGCCATCCTTTGCTTTTAGGAGAGATGACAGTGTACTTGTGGGGCTGGGGATAATGGTTGTAGAGAAGACAAGTGCAAGAGAAACTCCTGAGGGTTGCAACTAGAAGAAACAAGGGATTAAACATAAAGGGGATGCAAGAAAGACAATCTCTTCTGTTATTTCTCACAATCTGAAGGTTTTTTTTTTTCCCCAGTGACAATTCAGTATTTTGTTTATATAAGGCTGCAGATCCTTAAAAACAACAGACAGGATCTTTGTTTTTATACATAAAGGAGTTTAAGACAGGGAGAGGTAAATGATGGTCTTTGTACCTGACTTCATTTGGATATGGAGAACTAGGAACTGTTAATTATATATATGGGGGCCGGGAGATTCAGAGAGACAAGAGACAGAGACAAAGAGACAGGCAGAGACAAAAATACAGAGAAAACCTAGCAAAGAAACTTGAAACTTGGTCTCATAACCAAACCTCTTGGTCAGGTGGAAGAAACTAAAATCTCCAATTAGTTTTTCAGAAACATGTTGAAGGTCATGAAAGGTCAGGAAAGCAACAATCATCATGGAACTAACATTCCAGGTGCTATTGACAGAAGCATTTTCCTCCAGAGGCTTCCAAACACGTTTTACCTGTCACCTCATTAATTTCAAAGAGAAGAGGGAAGTTTGGACTTTCTACTGCCCTCCCTTCTGCAAGCAAAGGCACCGTGGGATGATATAAAGATTTTCTCTGCTGTTTAGAAAAGAGACTTTTTGTGGATAATTAACAGCTGTTATTTAGCGCTCGGTCAGTGGGAGGGCGGCGAGCAGAGAAGTTGGAGGGAAAGAGATGGGAGTAAGTGCTCTTGAGGTTTGGATGTGCACCAGATCAATCTCCATTTGACAAACACTGGCAGAGCTTCAGCCTTGAGCCAAGGACTAGGGAGGACACAAACAGTGTCCAGGTCTCCAGTAATCAGTCCATGGTTGTAGAGGAAGTCCTTTCTTTTCAAGTATAGGCTTGAATTCTCCACTATGTGAAAGCCTTTAAGAGGTTGACAGTCCTCGAGAACATGAGCAACATAAAAGAATTTCTTCCCTCAGTAGAACTGAAGCAGCAAAAATACAGGTGGAGCTTTGGAAGTGTTTTCTCATTACACATCCAAAGTAATGATTGCTCTCAAAGTGTTTTTCTCTAATGAGTTTATATTCACTGCTACATTTTTACTTCAAATATATAATTAATTTATAACAAATGAGAATAGTTCAGAACTTTCAACCTTATTCTCACAGATCATCAGTTGTCAAAAGCAATTCATTGCATTAAAAATCTAAGAGGAAGTCCTGGAAGCAGTCATGTTTCATTAGTCTTACTCTTAAAACACCAAATCATAATAAGATATTTTTGCTTTTTTGTTTGTTTGTTTTTGTGGTGCTGGGGTTCAAACCCGGGGTCTCATGCATGTCAGGCATGAACTGTACCACTGAGTTAGAGCCCCAGTCCTTGTGTTATCTTTTGTACAATCTTTTCATTTGTGACAATGGAGTTATCAAATAAGACAACCATGAAGGAATCACTCTTTCTTTCTGAGGCCAACCAATTATAGTTGGGCATTTTATACTTCCATAGCTTATCTCTTAAACTTCATCTGGTTAATTGCAAATTGTTATTAGATAGAAAAAATTGGATTGCTTTAAGATACCACATTTAATTCTAAAGCAATAATAAAATTGTTAAACTTAAAATATTTTGCTCTATACCTTCAAAACAAACTTACAGCCTATGATGGCATGCAGCTAGCACATTATCTTCATAATCTGCTTTATCACCATCACAACCTTAAATTTCCCCTCTTCAAGTCGTGTCAGGACTTGAAAGTCAATGACCATCAAGAATATAGCCCAGAAAGCTGTATTGACCTGTGGAGGCCACTTGTAATATTTTTAACAATTCAGAACTCCATTCAGTACATGAAAAACAAGTGGATTAACCAAAAAGGTTAAGAAAACATGGTCTTTGACCCACCCATGTAGATGGCATAGGAACTCAGCTTAGCAAACAGAACTGCTGGAACGAATGCCTTTCTTGGATTTGGGTTTTTTTCACATCACAAAGTGAGATGCTACTTTATATTAGTTAATGAATCCTCTTCCTACCCAGAATCAGGCAGAAGTTCCTGTCTCCTTACTGTATTTCTTCAATCACAGTCTGCATTTGGTGGCTGTCACATGAGCCCTAGAATATTTGAATTGCACCACTGTCTGTATGTTTTATTATATTTCAAATGCCTGCCTCTGGCATACCTGATACCCTCTTGGAACTCGGAACAGCTGCAGGCTGCCAGAGGAAATACCAGAAGGCTTTCACTGGGTAGCTCCTTACTCCACTGACCCACAGCCCTGCTAGGGCCCTCTCCTGCTCCCAGGCCCCCTTAGGCTGACCAGCTCCAAGGAGGACTCTTTACTGTGCTACAGAGCTTGGGGCTTTTGCCTGCAACTGTTCATCACCACCAATTTCCTGTTAGTCCAAAGGACCTTGCTTTCTTTTCAAGGTGAAAAAACAAAAACAGAAAACCCCCCATCTCTCATAAAAACCTTATCCAGAAATAATCAGACCAACAACTAGAAAGGCATTACAGAAAAACAAGTAAATAAACCCAATCCCCACCCCACCCAACCCCCCGGAGACTCCAGAAACGTTAGGGTTAGCAGAGAACGGGAGACCGAAAAAAAAAAAAAAAAAACATTGCATCACCTAACCCACCGGCAAGATCATGACTTGTCCGAGTTAATATCTGAATCAGCGCATTAAACGCGGTCGTTTCACCCCAGTATTTCTCATCCTCGCCCCCTCCCCCCTTTCGCGCCCCTCACCTGCCAGGCGTCTGTCTCTAGTGTTTTTCCAAATAACATCTAGGGCTCTGGCCGTGGAGTCCCTGATGTGATCGCTAAAAGACCTCCGCAGAGGGGCTCGCAGGGGCCGAGCCATCACGTGGGCCTCGGGGTCCCCCATCCACCCGCAGTGACTTCAGCGCAGAGCGGGCGCCGCAACCATTCTGCTCTCTCCTCTTGGAGACGTCCTCCGCTGGCCGCGGGCTGTCGCTCTGCCTGGGCGTGGGTCCCTAGGGAGCGGAGAAGGATCCCGCGCCTTCAGGATGCCGGCATTGCGGCTCGCACTGCGGCCCCGGGAAGCGCCAACTGCAGGCGGCCTCCTGGACAGTCGCCAAGCTCGCGCCGTGGCCACATCTGGAAAGGCTTAGGAACCAGCCCGCGCCACACTCGCCCAGCTCTCGGGCTGCAGCCCTGGCTATCTAGATGCTTCTAGCTTCCTGTGTAATCCAATAAGTTGACTTGGTACACGCTGGGCTCTTGGTCTATTAAATATTTGTCTCTCCTTCCAGAGCAATCCAGGTAACCTTGCGGTTTGGAAGGAAAGGCGGTTCGGGAGGCAAGGGAGTGAGGGAGGGGGAGGAGGGCCAGTAGGTAGTGCTGTCTTCAGCTGTGAAAGCTAATTCTTATCAGCATTAACATTTTATCTTACTAGCTCTTGGGTTAGGTCAGGCTGTTCTTGAGATACCCGAGTTGAACCTTTAGTTATGGTCACCGGAAGGGAGACAGGGCTGTGCTAAGCCTCCCCAGATCTGTTTGGATTGTAAGAAACGTACACTTGAGTTTTAAATAAAATATTAATCAGCTTCTCATATCTTCACATTTTCCCATTATACTTTACACTCTGTGGTTTAAGTAAATAATTTTAGGTTTTGCCCCTAAATAAGGTTCAAATGTCCCAGGGCTTAGGGAATCTTTACGTTTCAAGTAAGCGAATTTCATCATTTATAATTGTACAACAAAAATGCACCCCAAAGTGATTTGGGGGGAAAAAAGTACTTTTGGTACATTTTTGGAAGTCAAAATATGGGCCAACTGCTTCTTTTACAGGACACATTCTTGTTTTTCTAAAATGCCAAACAAATCTCATTTTATGCCAATGAATTTGGCAAATTTTCCCTTTAATGCATTATTAATCCTTTCTTTTCTTATGTACCCAAAGTCCCAAGGTTTGGCAGGGAAGGTTTGGCAGGGAAGCATAATATTGGCATAAGATAGTATCAAAGGACTTGTTCATAGCCTTTGCAAGATGAGATAAAGCAGTTTGTAAGAGGCAAGGTACCAAGCAAATGATGATTATTACTCTATTTTTCTACATGATCACACTTATCTCCTGAGCATTTTAATTTCTACAACATGATCCTCTTTCCTATATCTTTGATAACTTAATTACACAAAAAATAATTATGATAATAGTAAAATTGTGCTCATGAGTAATCACTGCTTATTAATAACCCCTATTTGCCTATTTGGGGTTACTATAATGAAATAACTTAGTCTGGGTACTTGTTAGGTAAAGAAGTTTATTTAGCATAGTTTTGGAGGCTGAGAGTTCAAGATCAGGTGACTCCATTGTTTGGGCCTCTGGTTGAGGGCCTAATAGCAGATGGCATCATGGCAGGAGCATTTGAAGAAAGAAGAGATCTCATTGTTCAAGAGGAAGCTGGAGTGATTCAGGAGTCAAGTTGACCCTTATAACTCACTCTTGAGAGAAGTAACTCAGAATCCTAGGAGAACTACCTGAATCCCTTCCAAAGGCAGCACCTTTAGGGATCTAAGGATCTCCCACAAGGTCCCACCTCTGAAAGGTCTCATCCCCACACTAAAAATCAACCCTCCAAACACATGAACCCTTGAGGAACAAACTCAAACTGTATACACACCATAGTCTTTCCCCAGTTAACAATGTGCTTTTTGATAGATACCTACTTCTTTCCCTTATCACTGGGTTGGGCATAAATTATGTTATGGTTTAGATATTGGGTGTCCCCCAAAAAACTCATGCGTGAGACAATGGAAGAGGGTTTAGAGGTGAAATGATTGGGTTATGAGAGTCTTAATCAATGCATTATTCCTCTGATAGGGATTACCTTGGTGGTAACTGCAGGCAGGTAGGGTTCAGTTGGAGGAGGAGCCTTTGTGGCACCTGGGGGCGAGCCTTTGTGGTATTTTGTCCTTGTTGAGAGGCTCACTGTCTCTCTGCTTCCTGGTGCAAAGTTCCCAGCTGCTTTCCTCCATCACACACTTGCTTCCTGTTGTTCTGCCTCAGCTCAGAGCCCAGGAATGAAGTCTACTGTCTATGGACCAAGACCTCTGAAACTGTGAGCCACCTCCCCAAATAAACTTTTCCTCTAAAATTGTTCTTGTCAGTTTTTTTTTTTTTGGGGGGGGGATGGGGGGCTCACAGCAATGAAAAAGCTGATTAAAACAGATTGGGAGGCAACAAGTATTAACTACTGAATTTTATAGAGCTCTGTGCCTTCAAGAGGTAATTCTAAGTGAGAATTCTCTATTAAAATATTTTACAAAAATTGGGGCTGGGGTTGGAGCTCAGTGGTAGAGCACTTGCCTCACATGAGTGAAGCCCTGGGTTCAATCCTCAGCACCATATCCAAATAAATAAATAAATAAAAAGATATTGTGTCCATCTACAACTAAAAAAATATTTTACAAAAATTGTGCAGGGGATTGTTAGCAAGTTTACCTAGCATGTGCGAGGCCTTGGGTTCCAACCCTAGTACTGAAAAAAAAATATATATATATATATATATTACAAAAATGGATTGCCTAATTCCTGGTTCTCTTTTAAAATAGATACTCAAAGTCTGTGTGTGTGCGTGTGTCTCCTTTAAAGAGGTCTGAACACCGTGAAGCATGTTGACTCATATGTCAATCAGGTTGAACAGGACAGGTTTGTCTGGACCCCTTTTGCAGAGGAACAGAATGAAGTACCCATGGCATGAGAAATGTCCTGTACCACATGCTGTTCTGTGCATGAGGAACTTGAGGATGAATAAGACATGAACTCTATCTTCAAAGATGTGACATCACATTGACTACAAATAAATTTAAAATTATGTGGTCAGTTTCACAATAGAATCATGTTCAAAGTATTATGGGAGCACAGAGAAAAACATAGCCTGGACTCTTAACTCCTCCTGGGCACTGACCTCACCTGAATTTCCAATCATCTAGATCTATGACAAAGTCAAGGGCATACAATCATTCCCAGCATGAATTGTTGAGTCATGCAGGGTGACTGTGATGGTAGGAAGCTTCTCTATATCTAAACACAGAAAGGAAGAGAGAGCAAAAAAAGAAGCATTTACTAAGTATACGTGATGGGTACCACAAACCCTTCTAGAGTTGTGTAAAGACTCCTGGTTCATCATGGCAATCCAGGACAGGTGTCATCATCTCCTCTTTATTTTTAAATTTTTTTAATTTGTTCTTTTTAGATATCTATGACAGTAGCATGTATTTTGACATATTATACATACATGGAGTATCACTTATTGTAATTAGGATCCCATTCTTGTGGTTGTACATGATGTAGAGTTACACTGGTCATGTATCCATATATGAACATAAAAATTATATCCAATTCATTTTACTGTCTTTCCTATACCCACTCCCCCTCCCTTCTCATCATTTCCCTTTGTCTACTCCACTGGACTTCTATTCTTCCCTCCCCTGCCTTATTGTGTGTTAGCACTGCATATCCAAGAGAATATTTTGGCCTTTGGTTTTTGGGGATTGGCTTATTTCACTTAGCATGATGATCTCAAATTCTATCCACTTACCAGCAAGTTATAGTCATTCTTTTTTTGTGGCTGAATAATATTCTATTGCATATATATATCACATTTTCTTTAACCATTCATCAATTAAAGGACACCTAGGTTGGTTCTATAGCTTATCTGTTGTAAATTGAGCTGCTGTAAACATTCATGTAGCTGCATCATTTTAGTGTGGTGAATTTAAATCCTTTGGGTATCTACCAAGGAGTAGAATAAATTGGGTTAAATGGTGGTTGCTTTCCAAGTTTTCTAAGGAATCTTCATATTGCTTTACAGAGTAGTGTCACCAATATGCAGTCCCACCAGCAATGTATGAATGTACCTTTTCCCACAATTCTTGCCAACATTTATCATCACTTGTATTCTTGATAATTGCCATTCTGACCGGAGAGTCATCTCCTCTTTAGAAAAGAGTAAACAAGCTCTGAGAGAAGAAAGTAAAGAAAGCTCAGATACCATGTGACAGTTCTAGGATTCATGCATGGTGCTGTATGCTGCTAAAATTCATTAGCTTCCCAATCAACCTGATTGGTCTTGAATTAATAATGACAATGACCCATTACTGATATCTAGACTCAATTAATACTAAGTTATTGATCAAAGCTTGTGTGCGTGTGTGTGTGTGTGTGTGTGTGTTGCTGGGTATTGAACTCAGGGCATTGTGAATGCGAGGCAAGCACTCTACCAACTTAGCTATATCCCCAGCCCAGATCAAAGCTTCTTAAACTTAGCAAATAAAATAACCAACTGGACCCAGGATGTGGAAGAAGCCTGAATTTGCAGATGGGTTTTAGGGGATCCCAGCTATGGAAATTGAGGGAAAATGAACCAGGACAATTAAGACCTAATTCAGTGAACATTGTTTTATGCTAGAGTACTCAGGTCTCATATCCAGAATGTTCCAGAATGACCCTCTTTCTCTTTTGGAACACTTCCACGTCAAAACAATAATCTTAGTTCTTCATTGCAGCTCATCTTAATCAGCTATTAGGAAAAAAAACAACCTATGCATAGTGTGGGCTCTGTCAGGTAGAATGATTCTGAGACCACCCAACCTATCTAAGAAATTTTCATGTGAAAAAAATCATCAATATAAACATAACTTTCATTAACAGACTACTTGGGGAATAGGAATGCAGATAAATGTTTTAAAGCAAGATGAGCTTTAATTGTTGATTTTATCATAGCTCAAATTAGGGCAGGAAACTCATTAAATTGATATTTTGTTGTGAGGATATTTCAACTTTTTATGGTTGCATCTCAGCCATATATCATGTGTATGTGTATGTTACAAAAATAATTCTAATCCACAGCCAATTTTTAAATTATTATTTTTATATTGATTCTTATAGACTATTAGAATCATGACACATACGAAAGTGCTGTTTAGAATGTACGCTTCATAGAAAAATTCTTCAAGTTTTATTTCCACCAATTTCAAGTAATCTCAGTCTTTTGTGAGAGCAAGAGGTGAGGACAGTTGGTGATAATTAGTGTTGTCTCAGCTTGGCTCCTGGGGGAAGGGGAAATATAAGGCGTCCATTGGATTTTCAAGATCCCTCTGGGAATTACAGGAGAAATGAGAATAACTCTGCTAGGTTTCTGTGATAAAAAGTTAGTTTCAGTCATTGGTGTGGCTTCTCTCTGACCAGGAAAAATTGTGCAAACTCTTCCAGATTCCTGGGGAGTAGAGGTTCCCATTTATACGTGAACCTAGAGATTCTGGCTCAAATAGATCCCTAATATTTTCCATCTAAAACAATCATCATGCTTTGGAAATGCACTGTAGATTTTATCTAAATTTGTCTACTTTATAACTTTTGTTTTCTAGGTGCAAACAAATTTTTCAGTTTTATAGTGCTTCTAAGTCCCATCTTCTTTGAGTTGGTAATAGAGACACCCTCTTTTTCAAACATGTATAGCATCAATCCACTGTGGTCTTTTAGCTACTCTCATTTGGTGATGCAACTCATTTAAATGTTCTTTGGGTCAAGTGGAACATTGAGGACTGCTGTAAGGGCTGGTAGCTTCTTTCCAAATAATACAAATAATGACGGGAAATGGAAAGTTTATTAAGAGTCAATGCCATGTCTACATTTGGGTCTTTGACAGAGGAAGGAAATTATTAAAACTGCATTTGGTTTGGCCCTAACATTGAACCAACCCCTGCAACTGGACAGAAGGCTTAATGAATGACAGTGCCTACCCCAGGCATAATAAATCTGCCTAAAGGGTTGCAACTCCACAAAATGAGTTCTCTATCATGTAGATGTCTGATAGTCCAGGACACAGAGCATTTGTAGAAGGAAGCCTCTGGAACTCTGAGGAATGTCTAAATGATTTTTGTTTACTCCAACAACTAATACTTAGCATGCAGCTGACATGGGCTGATACTATTTTTACTTTGAAATATTTACCTAAGATGATCTTCTTTAGCACATTTGCTCTGGCAAGTGGCATTTTATATATTAGTCTGCTTCTACATTTGGAATCCTAAGGATTACACTGAATTTGGTGAAGAATATTTTTTAATATCTCTGTTAAGTGTTCTTGACCAAGGAGAAAGATGGAGAAGTAGTGCCCCTAGAATTCTTTTTCTATGTCATGATTTCAGACTTTCTTCTGTTTGATTTCAGAAGGCTAAACTATTTTTAGTTTCTAAAGAAAAATCAACAGTAATACCTCATCAAAAATAATGAAAAAGAAATAATACATTTATAACATATTGCCTTAGCAAGAGTAGAACATCTAATGGCAAAAAAAAAAAAAAAAAAAAATAGAGACAGTTTAAATTTTAGGAAGAAAGAATTTCCTTCTTTGTCTTCTTTATTTTTCATTTTATTTTCCTATCCTTTATTCTTTTTTAAATTGCTTTTATTTTTAAAATACATGACAGAGGAATGCATCACAATTCTTATTACACATATAGAACACAATTTTCATATCTGTTTGTATATAAAGTATGTTCATACAAATTCATGTCTTCATACATGTACTTTGGATAATGATGTCCATCACATTCCACCATCATTGCTAACCCCCGTCCTATCCTTTATTCTTTGCAGTGTGAAATTCCAGTATTTTTTTTTAATTAAGGGAATTCAACATAATGACATAGACTTCACTGATATAATGTCTCTGCCAAGATTTACATATATTGTGACTACTTGAATTGCTTTTAAATTGTGTTTATTCCAATTCACACTAGTTATTTTATATATATTTTTTGTAGTTGTAGATGGACAGCATGCCTTTATTTTATTTGTTTATTTTTATGTGGTGCTAAGGACCAAACCCAGTTTCTCCTGCATGCAAGGCAAGCGCTCTGCCATTGAGCAACAGCCCCAGCCCTTTATCTATCTTTTTATTCATATTAGGCTAAAATGTCATTCTCCTTCTTATTCTGAATTAAAATACTTCTTTCTGAGAAATAAATAAAAGCTCTCACATGTTATTTTACTTTCATGTACAGTATGCTTATTGTCACAAATGTCCACAGAAAGTGCCAGATACCATTACCTTTGGATTATAACAATTGTCTGTCACCTCAAATAGTATGCATACAGTAACAACAAAATCCAAAACAATTTTGGATAATTTCAATACGCAAGTATATTAATTCAGGCATAACTTCAAAATCAGACCAAACAAAATCCTATTTATTCCTCAGTGTTCATATAATGTATTGAACCCAGATTATTAATAAATGTCATATATTGTGAAGAGACCCCAAACAATGTCAATATCAACAGACTTGAATGCTCTTGTGTAAAGCTGTTTGCAGGTGGACTTAGCCTGTATGCATGAAGTGATTCTGCTGGCTGCATGTGCACACAAACAACACCCCCTTCAAACAAATAAAAAAAAAATCCCAAACACCCTAAAAACATTAACACAGAAATTGGAAAATGAGATGTAAGAACTGTGATCTCTGAGAGAAGGTTTATAAAAATAGATGAATTCTACATGATTTCCATCTCAATCCTCTGCTTGGGGCCAATTTTTGAACCATAGAAAGAGATCAGTTGGAATTTGTAGAGCAAAGAACCAAAGAAAAGGATGCAGCACAAAGAATGAGTCTGAGGCTCTGGAGAGAGGTCTTCTCAAACCTGTGGCTTAATACTCATCTATTCAGCCACGAGATGAGACTTTCCAAGGCTTAGTAAGAAGAATTGAAAATCAGTAGGCAGATCACTTCCTGGAACTCACACAGGCTGGAATTAGTTTGTGTTCTCATCAGCCAGCATGAATATGGGGCATTGGTGGAATCTCCTGAACAGTCATGCCTCAGTAATGAGACTAAATTAGTCTTAGAATAAAGGATGTTCTGGACTTTGCAACAGAATAAAGGAAATAATAAAGATGAAAGAAGAAATCATTGAAATTGAAAGTAGACAATTTAGAAGATCAAAAGCTGGTTCTTTGAAGAAACAAATTAAGTTGATTAAGCCCTAACCAGATTTAACTAGAAATAAAATCTGACTACAGTAATGTCACAAAATTGAGATCAATATTCAAAAGTCAACTGCATTTCTGTATATTAGCAATGAGCATATAATAATTAAAACAAAATAATACAATTAATAGCATGATAAAAAGATATGAAATACTTATAGATTCAACAAAAATATTTGTATACTTATACACTGAAAGCTACAAAACATTTCTAAGAAAAATTAAAAAGGATATCATTAGAGAAGATATACCATGTTCATGGATTTGAGAAGTTATTATTGCTAGAATGTAATTTTTTTCCAAAATAATCTATAGACTTGATAAAAACCATAAAAATTCCA